GAGTGGGGGAACAGAAGACACTGTATGAAAGGAAATGTACTCATAACCTGACTGTAATCCCTCTAACTGTAATCCCTCTGTATACCACCTTAATAATAACAAGTGAATTAATTAAAACAAATAAGTATTACAAAATGGGGGTCCTGGGGGACACCATAACCCTTGTGATTCACACTTCGTATTCTGTCACTCCATGGCTTACACAGGACTTGTAGTATGGATTCCTAGATGCCATTTTCTGTCCCCAGGGGGCTCTCTAGAAAACTGAAGAGCGGTGATGTCTTGAACACACACAGAAGCCAGCATGCCCCCAAACTGATCGTCATCTTCAACAACCTTCTCCTGTTCAGTGACCCTGACACAGTAAGTGGTACCTCCACCCACCAAACTTCTCAGAGAGAAACCTAAATGTGGCTCTATATGTATTCTTTCTTCATCCTCTCTCTCTCACACACACACTGTAATCAAGTCTTGCTCATTCTGTCTCCTAAATATCTCTTGCTCTGTTCATAGACTTCAGCTCCGAATGTCACTGCTACTTAAGTCTCAACTGTCTTCCTTTTTCCTCAACATTATAATCAACCACCTGCTACTGGTGTCCTTGTGACCAGAATCAATAGGAACACTTAAAATTACATTTGATCTGACAGCAATGAGCTGTCTTCTTAATTCTAACACAAGTAAATCTTCTCTTATTACAGACAAATACATAGATATTATAAACTTGAAAACAAAATTTTGCATCATTCCAAGGTATTCCCATGGTACAGACAATGATTTTTCCTAAAATGCAATCCTCTGAGAATTTTTTTTATCCCATTGGGATAGTGTCCAGACTCCTTAACACACCTCTATGCACACACACAGAATTTCACAGCTGACCCTTGCCCACCTAAACCTAACTCTAACCCTAACCTTCATTTCTCTACTCTGTGTCTCTCCACAAGAGGGTTCTTTTTTTATTGTGAAAATCTTGCACAAGAGGGTTCTTTTTAGGCTCCTGTCCAGGCTTTGTGGCATCTATTTTGTCCTTGGTTAGGATACATTTTTCTAGACAACTTTCCTGGAAACTTGTACCTCTGCTGTGAGATCTCAGAGCCTCTGTGCATCTCCTGTCTTAATAGGACAGGCTTTAGTGTGTCTGCTTGAGTCATGAACACCAAGGATCGGCAGTGGCCACCAGTGCACAGGGAACCATGGGAGTCAGTCTTCCTTGGAGCTGCCAGGAGCATCTGCTGATGCCATGACTTTATATTCTGGCCTCCACATTGTGAAAATAAATTGTTGTAAGCTACTGAGTTTATGGTAATTTGTGATAGCGTTCTTGAGAGAATAATATAAATACCCTAGGTGATGTCTGATCACACAGGCTGGTACACACACACACACACACACACACACACACACACACACACACACACGAATTTCCTTCCTTCTGAAAGTGTTTTCTGTCAGTAAGCATCCATGGATCCTCACCCCACTCCACAGCCATAAATCTTTACTTTTTCAGAGTTCAGAGGGGAACTGCTCAATCTTTCCTACTGTAAGACCCATTGCAGAGACCCCTATATACCTATGCACTGGTCCTGAACATTTCTCCTTCACCAGCTTCAACAAGTGGCAGAGAATAAATTTTCTTGAACAACACACACACACACACACACACACACACACACACACCCATGTGCACTCACCTGACATATCAGACAGATATATGCATATGGACTAAAACCGACCAACCAATTAGTGTTCCCACAATCAAACAATCCTCTTGCAGTTTTTCTGTTCTCTATGACTCATATCCACACACAGGAGATTTTCTACTTTATTACTTGAAGCTGTGTACAGTCTATCATGTTGAATATCCTTATGTTGTCAAATTGTTTCTTTGGGCTAAGGAAAGTTTCTCCTTTGTAAAAGTAATCCAATATTCTGGGATTCAATTAAGAAGTGAGATTGATACAAGGTAAGACGTTAAATGAATTACAGAACAAAAAAACACTAGAATAGCATCAAGTGTATGATGTCATCACTCATTTCCCATGATATAAAGGTATCCATAAGTATCCCCTACCTTCTTTAATTCAGAAGCAGTGTCTTAAACCACCACCACGAACACAGAACATTATGATCAGCTGCCAGATGAAGCAAACTGGCTGTGGAGACCACAACACTTGCTAAGAATAGTTAGTAAGAAACATATAGAGCCAGCAACTGGGCCTGTCACATATTTGGATCCTTTCTCCCTGAAGAGCTAGAAATGAGTACTTTTCAGATTTCTTAGTGACTCATGAGTAATTTGACACCATTGTATCTGTATTTCTCAGAGGGACAAATCTTCCAACGTCTTTAAGAAGTCAGAACAATTGATCACAGAAGAAATCTCATGCTTTTCCCCTATGGCTTGGCCAAAGATGTTCAGCGAAGCCTTTAATTTGCAAGGAGGCATTGTGTTTATCACCCCGTCAGCCAGGGATTCATGCTGACACTCGACAATTATTTGAAGACGTGTTTGTGTTATTACAAGACACTTTGCATAGCAAAGTCAAAAAGGACTCTTGTAAAATCTGCTATTATTATAGCAGCAGCAGCATCTTTATCACTACTAATGGTAGTAACAGAATTTAAGCTGAGGGCCTCAAACTCACTAGGCTTGTGTGCTTACTTGGTGGTCTACCACTTAATCCATGCCTCTAGACCAGAGTTTTGCTAGTGATTCTGGATATGGAATCTCACAGACGTTTTGCTTGGGCTGAACCTCATTCCTCTGAATATTACAAGCTAGGATTACAGGTGTGAGCTACCGGTGCCTTGCTTTATTATACTCCCAGTTTCTTTCCTGTTCATGTGGCTTATAACTGACCTTGAAGACACTATATTACTTTGAGATTTCTCCTCAATGAAACATACTATGGACATACAATACTTGCACATGATTTTGGTGGTAATTTGGTGATAATTTGCAGTGATAATTTGATACATGTATAGAAATGTATAATCACCAAATCCGGGTAATTAACATTTCCTTCTTAAACAGTAATCATTTCCTTATGCTGTGAAACTTCAAATTCTTCCCTTTTATTTCTTTATCAAATAGATAATAGACTGCTGGATGCTAGAGTCCCCTACAGTGCTACACAACACTAGCATTTATTTCTTCTATGTAACTATTTTGGTTTCTATTTATCCAACAGTCTAGCCGCCCTTTTCTGTCTCTCTCAGTGGGGAATGTCCACTTGGTGTTTTGCTTACTTTTACACCACTCTGGGGTTTTTAGGAATGCACGAATGACCTATATTACACCTAAGGCAATCCATGCAGTGTCAGAGGAAGGAGGATACAGAGTCAGGGTGAAGAAACTCAGTCAGAGAGGCAACAATTTAGTGGGTCATGAAGTCATAAGGTCATTCCTCTCCAAGGAATTAACAAATGGCAACAACTGAGTGGAGGGTTCCACCTAAAACAAAAAAGCCTAGAAAACATGGACTGGGGTGCAGGGGTCTGTCCTGAGCACATTTCAAGATTTTCCCAACTTTATTATGCGTTTGTTTTTCTAGAGTGATTGTCATGAAGATGCTCAGTTCTGTAGATGTTCAGGGAATAAAAAGTGGATCATCGATTTCCATGTTAAACGGGGTTGAGGCAAAGGGGGAAAAGCAGAGGAAGTGATCATTCTGAGGGAAGGAAGCAGATTGAGCTTTTGAGGACATAGGGGAAGAAGGAAATCCAATTCTTGAAGAAGGCCTGGGCGGTAACTGAATACATAAACAGACACAGTGCTGTTGACTGATTTGTGCCACATCCAACTTCATATGTTGAAACCCAAAGCACAGAGGGAAGGTATTTGGAGACAGGAGTTAGTCAGGGTTAAGAGGGTGATGTGATTAGTGCCCTTATCAGAAAAGACCCTAGACAGCATTCTCTAACACACACAAAGGAAGATTTCATAGCAGCAACTTGATTTCATAGCATTGATTTCATAGCAAGATTGCAGAAGTCTCAGAAAGAAACCTACTTTGTCGACACATTCTTCAGCCTCTACTACTGTAAGAAATACATTCTCTTAATTTAAGCCACAATTTGTGGTATTTTGTTATGGCAGTCCAGGAAGACTAAGAGAAAACTAAAAACTATCTGTAGAACTTCCCTATCATCTCATTGCAAACCAGCAGTATGCAATAACTCTTTGTCTTTTCCTGTAACATTTCCCGCCTCTGAACCCTTACTTCTCTAAAATTACCTATCTACTTCATCAGGGAAAATCTCCACAAATATGAACTCATGTAAAATACGAATTCTTACCCCTACTTCTGCAAATGATCTAACTGAGGCAGAGAGTTAAATCAACTGAAAAAGCCATACACTAGCAAGTATCTTAGCTGGGATTTGAACCCAGGCAGCCTGGCTCCAAATTGACAAATCTCAGCTGTGCTGACTTTCCTCATATTTCCTGGCTGGTCACTAAGCTGTGAACAGCATAGTTATCTTTATCATTCCAGAAATGACTAATTTCTATTCTTTGTTTTCCTGACTTGTCCAAGAATCATTTTTTCATGATTTTTCCTCCATGAAATAACCTATTCTTATCTGCCAACCACCATACATAACTCATTTTCTGCTGTGTGTTGACTTTTAGTGAAGCAGTGAAAATAAAACGAATAATAAGAAATGGATTGTCAATGCCAGAATGAAAGCATTCAATTATAGAAAAGGTAGAGTTCCAAGTCCAGATTATTTATAGATCAAATAGTAGGGGTAAGTTTTTAAATTAAAAGACTATAACCCCTCAAAAAATCCTCTCATGAGATACAAGGGAATACAAAGAACATAAAAGCCATTTCCAAGCAGATTGAAGAATTATTATTAAAGACAAGAGCAATTCTAAAGCTTAATTTTTTTTCTATACTTTGGCCAGCTGGTGGTAATTTAATTCTCCAAATTAAGATATGAAGTTGAATTAAGCAAACACCCAATGAGAAATAAGGAAGCAGCCTTCTTACCTGCTGATGTGTGTTTGAACTTTTCGCTTTTCTTCTTTCTCCATTTCCAAGGCTTGAAAATCCTCCCCAGGTTGGCAAACTTACTTCTCCTCCGGATGGGTGGGGTGTGCGTGCCCGGGACCAGGGAGTCGGAACGCATCGCCGCCAGCCTCTCCACTTCCTCAGCTTGTTTTTTCCAAGAAAGAGATGGAAATAAAAGGGGGTGGGGGGGGGGGGAAGTGTTAAAATGGGAGCTTCACAGATGGCTAGCATTTTCCATGGTTACAGATAACAGCAACCACGTGACACGAGCTCCATTTGCCTTTTGGAATGGAAGTCATACTGATATGTTCCAAAGGCTGGGGACAGTAAAACAAACCCTAGAGATTCAGAACATCCCAACTACATTTGTGTGCTTCTTTGTTTCTTAAAGAGACAAGGTCTCACAGTGACACATGCTCAAGTGATCCTCCTATCTTAGCCTCTGGAGTAACTTGGATTACAGATAACTTGGAGTAACCCAAGTTACTCCAGAGGCCTACCTACTCTAACCAAATTTGCCCAACCTTCATTTAGATGGCATGAGAAGGGCAAGAAGAAGACAGTGCTCTCTTGACATGTATCAAACTCCCCACGAGGCAGGGAAATGCCAACTGAAGATTCAAATAAGAAGTCAATGGGATTATTGGTCCAGTAACTTCTCAACTTCGTGGAATCATTATGGCACCGTCTAGTGAAGGAAAAGGAGAAGGAAAACATTTGCCCACCATCTATTCTCCAATATCTCCATTACCCAATTCCTACTGCTCAGATTTACCAAGATGCTCAGAAGCCTGCCATCTACGGAGGGTGGGACTCTAGAGTTACTCCTAACAGACATTACAATTGCTCACACTTTACTAGATTTGATGATTGCCTTAATTTTGCTGGATTTCTTTAACTCTTTGAGTTTTACTTTAAAGTATTCTTAGAAAACTGGCGGGGGGAAGGGGTTTAGGGAACATCTAGACTAGTTTTGATAACTGAACATCTTGAGACTGCTATGGTTTGGGTCTGGAATATTCTCCAAAGACCATGGATTAAAAGCATGGTCTCCAGCTTGGTGCACTATTGGGAGGTTGTGGAACCCTAAAGAAGTGGACCCTAATGGGAGGTCTCAAGTCATTGAGAGTGTGTTCTTGATTGAAATTGTGAGACCCTGATCACTTCTGCTTTCTTTCTCCCTTTTGCTCCCCCATTGTGTGGTGTGTGTATGTGCTTTGCCATATAATTAATACCCATCATAAAGTATTGCCTCACTCTAACAATGGGTCTAATTGGTCCTGGACAAAAACCTTCACGATAAACCTTCCATTTTTTTTAAAAAAGCTTATTTAGCTCAAGGTGTTTTGTTGATGAACACAAGGACATTAAGCTTTTCAAGTCTTCTTAAGGAAGGATGATGGACCTTCCTTGAATGCCACAATCTCACCAGCCTCTTTTTACTAGGTAGAACTAAAGAAACTGTTTTCTAAGTCACACAAGTATTTACATTGTCCAGTGAGCTAAATATACTGCCATTTGAATGTCTAAGACAAGAACATTCAGAGTAAATAACTTGCTCAGCAGAATGGAGGGGCTGACATAGAACTCAACTTTCCAGAACACAACACTGCATCTAACTCTATGACAAACCCAAGCCACTGGATTTGTCTGGCCTGAATAACTATCCCTCCAAGGAAAGACATGCGTACTTGTACACCATATACAGTCCTGAAGAATAAGATCTTATGGACTAAGAGATTTTCTGTTGTAGTCTGAACATGATTATAACTTAGGAGGACTCCTTAACCTACAAATAAAGACAGGATTGTGACCGGATGGCAGGCGGTACACTGTGGCAGTTATTCTGGTGACAGATAATGAGAAGCTGGCAAAGGCTCTTGGCAGCAAGATTAAAGGGAGGTTGATAGGGTTGGGAGGTGTGTAGAAAGCAAACTCAATTCATGGATTCCTGATCGATTGAGTGACCTGAAGGACAGGAGGCAAAACATTCCCAGTTCCAGCTCAGCAGAATAACACTCTTCTGTCATCAAGTCAAAAGATAGCAGGGTGGCACAGGCTGGAGAGTGAGTGCCACAACGATCTGGCTATTGCAATGAAGATGCATTGACGGTAGATGCTCCTCCACTCAAAGATGGAGGGACAGATTGCTCCCAAGGTAAGCAGCTTTGCCCCACCCAGCTCTCTCTCCATGACATTCTGCCTTCCTCAGGAGTCCTGAAAGTAACAAGTCTGCCAGATTCTGGGCTGGAACTTTCAAAACTGTGAGTCTCAATTACACCTTTCTCCTTTATAGTTGATTACTTTAGATACTTGTTATAGTAACAGAATACTGACAGCCACATAAGCTAGTGACAATTGTGAGAAACCAGAGCCAGGGGGAGGAGAGAAGGAATGTCAACGTAAGACACAGCCATTTTGTCTTTCAACCTCTTTCCCTGGCCACCTGCTCCCACACCATTTCTTCCTTTAGTTTACAATGTTATTATGGCTGGCCCGGATTTCACAGGCCTCCGGGCCTATGTCCCCCAAGCCCAGTCTCCTGCCTTTAATTCTCTCTTTTACTGTGTCACTAGACTGTCTTTCCTGAAATCTGCTCAACCCAGAATTTTACAAAGCTTCCTATAGCTTGCAGTAGAATCTTCAGATTCCCTGCCTTGATCTTCAGGGAACTGGACCTGTGTTGTCTGGCTTACATAGTTCTTCTAGTACTTCCCAAACACATGCTGCAGTGAAGTGAAAAGAGGTCTTGTCACCACAGCCCATTGGGGTGTCTGCCTCCCAGTAGCCCATAGGCAGCCTTCCAACCACTAAGACTATGCAAAACAATTTCCCTATGTTAGGTATCTGCATTTACTTGGAAGAGTTTCCATTTTCCGTTGGTCTCCAATGTAACTTAGGATATACAAATTTAAAAATAATGAATTTGAATGCTCTTGAGGCCAGCCAACCTAAAATATCTGTTAAAGGTTAAGAAGGGATTAAGAGACAGGCTCCTAGGAGGAAAAATGAAGATGAGAATTATTCAGGATTGATACTGAGTTTCTGTCTCCTGGCTGGGTACTCAGTAATGACATAAAATAAATGAGTTGATTATTTCAAATAAAGGAATGAATCACACACATTCATCTATGTCTAAACAGGTACAAAATAAGTATTACTATCTGTCTCAAGAAAAATAAAAGTGTACCTATGGTCCCCGCTACTCAGGAGGCTGAGGGAAGAGGCTATATCAAACCTTATCTTATAAAAATAGATTAAAAAATTTCTGAAGTTGTTGCATTAAAATCATTATAATCAATTAGGAGAGCTTTGTTAAAACCTAGAGTGGCAAGGAGCAGAGAAAGCATTATAAAGGCATAATTATAACTCTAGTTAAATGAATCCTTAATAAGTGTATTATTAAATTCAAGATGGTTAGCCCATAAGTGCAGTAGATTATTGAGCAGACTAGATTACACTAGGCTTAATTGATTTATACTTTAATCACCCATATTGCATTTTTGCACCAATTCATCTGATGGCAGAGGCTGGCTCTCAATCTGATGGTTCTGCCACCAGATAATGGAAGACTGAAGGCTGAGGCTGGAGCCAGCTTGTGAATAAAAATTGAAAAGGAAGAAAAAGCAAAGCAAAGTAGGACTCGGAATCCAGTAGTCTCGCAGCACAATAACGTGCGAAAGAATTGTGTTCTGAGATGAAAGCTAAATAGAAGGGAAGGGGCATACATTAGAGGCATTTGGGGGACGTTTTCATTGGACACAAATCACATGGAGACTGCTTTGAGCAAGCCTTCTGTTCTCAGTCCTACAGTGGCTTCCTTACAGCTTGCAAGAGAAGATGCTGTCTGGGAAAAATGCTCACTCAGACATGATTCAGCTAGAATGTCCACTACTAGGAAGAGTAGTGTGAAATCAAGTGGTAGGAAGCTAGGCAGCTGAGCACATTCATCCCTAAGGGGCAGAGAAAAGTCTGGGCCAGGAGTGTCCCAGGGACTGTCTAGCCCTGACATCCAAGAGAATGTTCTTTATGAGACTAGACAGTGTGAGCTAGGTTGTTGTATCTGTAGGGGGGAAATAGGGAATGCTTTTTCTTTTCCTCTTTAGAAATACCAGAAAGATAATAGTTGACTTGTAAATAATTTGAATCATCATGGTCAAAGTACATGTTCTTGCTGGTACTCCGAACCCACCCTTCATGAAATTGCTTCTGGGGTGGGAGGGTCTGAGGCGCTTCAACTGGCACTCTTACCAGTTTCTCAACGTGACTTTGTGATCCAAAGACTTCTCTAAGGACAGAAGCAACTAGCTCCCCTTGGCCTAAGGAGTGTATGGTCTCCCACTGGGCCGCTAGAAAAGAAGGAAGCCATGTGCTTATGCTGCTGGGTGTCTGGCTGGAGCCAGCAATGGGAACACAAGGAACAGGCTATTTGGGGCTCCTTTGTAGCTAGTCCCATGTGCCAAATACTCCTAGGAATTTTGGAGAAGCTGAATCCAAAACTGCAGCAGGTTTTCAGATTTCCCCTCACAAGAGGGGACATTCCAAGTAGCCTAAGGCTTCCTTAGGCATTGTTATGGATGACAGCAACAATCATGCTGCTGTTAATGTTTGAGTCTTAAATAAACCTTCCAAGATGAATGATAGACTTGTTCCTAGGTCTGTGGTGTTATTGGGAGGTAGTGGAACTTTAAGAGGCAGGGGCCTAGTGGGAGAGAGCTAGGTTATTGTGGGTGTATCCTTAAGGGGAATATTAGGATCCCAGCTCCCTACTTTGTACCTCTCTGCTTCTTGGCTGCCATGAGGTGAACATATTCCCATTTTGTTCCTCTGTATGATGGGTTGTGGCTTTGCCACAGACCAAAAGCATCAAGGCTCAGAGACTACGGACAAAAATAGACCCCACCTCCTTTCAAGTTGACTTATCTCGTGTCTGTCTCAGCCATGGGAAGCTGACTTATACAATGACAGCAATAATGGTAATGAAGCTGATGATGACAGTAAGAGTATGAACAACAGCCACCACTTTTCAGACGCCCTGTCTGTACCAGACACTGACCTAAGCACTTACAATACATTACCCTAGGCAACCTTCAGGTTTCTCTATGAGATAGTGTCATATACTGTCCCATTTTATACTTGGGGAA